ATATAGGATTTGTAGGCATGGGCCAGGAGCCCATTAGGTATTTACTCATGTACATTATATTCCCTTATATATAGGGCTCAAGTGAATGAATAAGATGAGGGTTTTTGACGGCGTATTTCTTCTCTGATTCTCTTCTTCTTCTACTACTTTCCCTCTTTGTCTATATTGTCTATCTTACACATCGATCTTGTATATTGACAATCTGTATTACAACAAAACCATCTGGTATGCACATCTCGTTTAAATTGCTTTCTCCATTCAATGTATTTGTAACAGTAATGCTCTCTTACCTACGGTAGGCACATGTTAATATGTCTACTACTTATGTGGCATGCACACATTGGTGATTAATTTTTTTGAACATATTAACATCACTAATGTGTGCATGCGCATATTAACATGTGTCCACCGTGGGTAGGGGAGCATTATTGGTATTGTAATTCGATTTATTTTTTGAAAAATGAAAAATCAACCCATTATGATCTCATATATTTAAAAATTCTCTCTCTTGAGAGCCGAAATTCTCTCTCTTTAGAGCTGGGGGTTTTTCTTCTTCGTTGTTTGCTGTGGTTTTTTTGCTGAATTTTTCTCCTACTGCGCTCGTTTTGTTTTGTGGGAGTTTTGGGGTGCTCTGGGTCATTGTCTCGTGGGCTGCTTCGCTGTGTTTTTTGCGAAGGTGAGACGGAGGGTAATTTGTCGGGCAGAGCTCAAGGAAATGACCTAGATGAGAAAATTGTTCGGAAAATGTTCGATTTCTCCATATCTGAGAAAGAGGCCGACAAAATTGAAATCCAACATACTGATGTCAAAGTCAGCGAGGAGAAATGGCCGAAGTTTATTTGGAAAAACTGTGGGAGATAGACCTGCCAATCATTTGTGTATGAAGAGAGCTATGACATACATTTGGAAGCTGAAACAGCCGATGGAGGTAAAGAAATTAGTGCAATTTTTTTCCAGATCATTTTCAGCTCAGCGGAAGACAAAGACAAAGTTGCTGCTGGTAATAATTGGATCTATGAGAATCAATACTTAGTTCTGAAGGAGTGGTTTCCTGGTCTGTGTTGCAATCATAATGCGTTTGATGAGGTGAAACTATGGGTCCAAGCCCTTAATGTCCCTATTAACTGGATGAGTACTGATGTAGGAGTCAAAATAGGCAAAATTTTCAAAGGTGTGAATAATGTCAATGTCTGCAAGCTAGGAGGAGAAGTGAGGAGTTTCATAAAAATTTTGGTTGTGATTAATATTAAAGAGCCTTTACCCAGGTGTACCACGATAAAGTTAGGAGATCAATGGGTCAGAGTGGCTTTTATATATGAAAGATTGATAAATCTGTGTTATTACTGTGGTTTTCTTGGGGCACCTTGATAGAAATTGTAAAAGGAAGATGGAAGCCATAGATAAGGGCCAAGTCACTGAAGGACAATTTGGAGAGTGGCTCAAAGCTACAGAGACTTTTCCTGGGGGAAGAAACAACAATGCTAGTAACTCAGGAGCTCCTTCAGTCCCTTCAATTCCAATCTCGAATCAGGAACCAGTGGTTTCAAAAAGTGATACTCCTGTTTTAGCGCAACAAGGAGGCATCACCGGGTCTAGCCGAGGGATTGAGAAGGGCAAAGGGGTTTTGGAGGATAAAGAGGTCTATGCTGAGGAGAATGAGCAGCTTAATCTCAGTATCATTGATAGCTCTGAGGAACCTTCTATTCCTGATTCAGCAATAATGGTTGTGGATACCCTAACAGTGGTCGATAAAAGATCTGATGCCCTAACAATGCTCCATGAGGGGAGCAGGCCTCTGGAAATTGAGGAATCTCTAAGAAAACCCCCTGCAACAACATGGAATAGAAGGGCCACTATGGACAGAAGGTTGCAGAGATTAGAGGAGCTTGCCCCTGATATGAGGTTGTCTTTCAACTCTAAGAGGAGCAGAGAAATGATAATTTACTCAACAGAATGAAGAGACCTAAGCAATACTGAGACAGAGGAGAAGAGAAGGAAAGTGATGTCAGAAGCTATAAAGGTGGAGAAGGCCAGCCTAAATTGGCCCCAAGGTGACAAATGAAGGCTATGGTATGGAATTGTAGAGGGTTGGGTGGGCCCTCTACAGTTTCCCAAATCAAGGATGTCAGAAGACTCCACCACCCAAACATTTTTTTAATCAGAAATTAAAAAATCTTATGTATTTACTAGGACTGTTTGTAGAAAGCTGGGGTTTGAAAATAGATGGAACTTTAATAGACATATTGGCACCAGAGGGAGTATGTTTGTTCTGTAGGATCACTCAGTGGAAATCAGGGCTGTGTGGGTAAATGAGTTTTGTATCCAGATAGAGGTGAAGGAGGAAAAAAGAGGACCTTGGTTCTGGCTGATTTTTGTGTACATTAACTGTGACAGAAGTGTTAGAAGACATCAATGTGAGTTCCTTGAGGTGCAGATAAATCTGTGGGGGAATTGTTGGGCCATATTTGGGGAATGGAATGATATTATATGCAATGAGGAGAAAAGAGGAGGGGCTAAGAGACTAGAGAGCAGCTTTGTTGGATTCAGAAACTTTATTCTGAATATGGATATGCACGAAATTGATCAGAGGGGTGTTTTTTTTTACCTGGGGGAACAATAGGCAACAAGAAGGCTATGTGGATGAGAGATTAGACAAGATATTTGTGTCTTCTGAGTGGAGTTTGAGATTTCCCAAGATGGAAGCCTCAAATTTCTTCAGAAGTGATTCTGACCATAATTTGGTCCTATTTGATACTGGGGTGGAGTGCCAGAGAAAGAAGCAGAGGTTCACCTTTGACTCTAGATGGCTGAAAATGGAAGGGGTGGGGGAAGTTGTGTCTTTGGGATGGGATATTTCTGTGCAGGGATCTCAGATGTTTATGGTGTATGAGAAAGTAAAGAACACCAGGATGGCCCTCCTGGATTGGGCAAAACCTCTTAAAAGAGACAACAAAAAAGTTATACAGGTGTTTACAGAGAAGTTGAAAGTGTTGAGGATGGAAGGTGAAGCTGTAGACTGGGGAGTATGGGGGCAAACAAAAGCAGAGCTTGACAATGCACATAAGGAGAAAGAATTGTATTAGACAAGATATTTGATGAATTGAATGTTCCACAGGAAACACAAAACTGAATGATCAAAAAAATCACTTAATTACATCAATATAACACGACATTGGTTGCAACATTAAGTTTCAGAACTCCTAACTCAGTTTTAGATTCTCAAAGATATATACATTTCACAATCTATAAATTACAGAAATTCCTTCTATATAAGGTGTATATTCATGAATAATTCTGCGGCAGAGAAAATATTAATGACCAAACCGGTATTTATAGAAGCATCTGACCCTGAAATCTCCACTATCGAATCAGGTAGTTATTCCACCATAAAAGGATATCAACAGGTTGATGTTTTCTACATACATTACATTATGGAGAGTTGTTGAAAAATGTATTATCGCATTATTAAAAAGAGAAAGGTTCTTTTGTGTGTGTGTTGATCAGCTTACCAGCACCAAACGAAACAGAAATAAGATTGCGAAGAGTGGAAGGAGGTTTAGCAGCAGTATCCAAATTCAGCGGGAGACCAGATGAGGAAGTTGTTCGGGAGAAAGAAAAGGCTCTGAGGTCTAATCTTGAAAGCGATGGCCTGAAATCTAGGCGATTATCTGTTAGCTCTATACAATGATCCAGGCAGGATTTGGAGCTTTACAATGGTAAGAACACACAAGTTGGTTACTTATTTTTCATTTTTGATTTTAAGCTCACATTTATGAATAGAAATTTGGCAACCATAATCACTATATGAAGCGTCAACACCAATTTCATTTTAGATAGAGATGTCAGATGTGAAACACGAAAACTGATGTCAGTCGGCCTAATAGGTGAAACTTGGTTTGGCTCATAAACAAATTGAATCGAATCAAACAATGAAGCCATTCCCTAACCATACATTTCTTAAAACCAACCTAGCTTCAACAATTGATTACAGAGACACACAAACTCAAACATCCAACAAAGACAACGAACTCGTAATCTTAATTAGTATAAGATTAAAATACCAAATAACAAATTTAATCAGAAACAAACCTCGCCAGTATGATCAACACCCCCCAGGTATCAGATTAAGATTATGGCTTCCTACTTCTCGAAGGTGTCAGCGAACTTGGCCTCGCTGCCCTTCCCTACCACGAACTGCTTCAACTTTTTGGCTTTGTTCATCTTCTCCACAAACCCTGTATTCATGAATTTCCAAATAATCACAGAGTTGAAAGCGTCGTCGTTCTACACATTTTACAGCTATGGGAGGGGAAATTAACTCACGTATAAGGGTGAATGAATCAGAGGTCTCGGCGGAAGCGACGCCCCAGCTTCCAGTGAACAACCCTTTAATCTTGTCCATCCATGACGCGCTGAGATGGGGCGTGGATGAGATCCAACGGTGGGTTGACGGAGCTGTGCTATGGCAACTGGCATATATAGCTAGTAGAGAAAGGTACAACATGCTACATATACTTCAATTATGACGTCTTTAATTGATCGAGATAGGCCCCAAAAATAATTAAAGCATGGTTATTTATTTATGAACATTTAAAAGCAAACCTCTACACAAACGACGTCGTTTGCCTGCCACAACTTGGAAAAAAAATAATATGAAGCTCAACGGAAGTGGAAAAAAACAAGGGCCAATGCAGGGTTAGTTTGGTCATGTCGGTCAATGCAGGGGCATTATTTGTAAAAAGAGTTGAAATTAAAGGGTATTTTGATCCGAAAAAATTGCCACGTGTCAAGTCCCAGAGCACTCGTACTTTTGCTTATATGTAATGGGGAGATTATTATTATTTAATTACAAAATAACTCTATTAAGGATTAAAACTATAAATGATTTGGCATTTAGGTAATTATAACTACAACTAATAAAAAAATCTTAAATTAATATAATTTTGTAAAAGTAAGTAAAATATTGGTAATTAATAAAAACATTTGATTTGACCAAAATATAATTTTAATTAGCACACTTAGTTAATTGCACTTATTTTAATTTTCATGTGAGGGTTGTGCTTCAATTTTTCAAAATTCAGTTAATAGGCTATTTGAAAGACAAAGATGAAAATTTTGTTGTTATTTTTTAATATCAATTTGTATTTAAGTATATTAACGCACTTTTTATATTTTTTAATTTATATTATTTCTTTTATTTTAAGAAAACTTAATTTATTTAAGAATCAATTAACTTTTGTCGATACAAAAATAATTACATAAATAGAATTGATATTTATTGCTTCTTATGTATTTATATAATAAAATAAGTAAGTTAATAACATTCAATATATTTTTACAAACCAATACCAAACATCTTTTTTAGAACCGCTAACACTATCAGTCGGTCAAAACTGCTAATACTAACTGCTGGTCAAAACAGCTATTACAATCTGCTATCCGCTAAAGTTAACCGTTAATTACCAAACAAAGTCAATACATACGAAACATCAATTTGTTTATAAGAATGGAACATGAAAGACTATAAAGTCCATGCCACCCAATTTTGTTTTAAATTTATTGGCCCCCAACTTAGAAAATGAAGAAGTGCAATTTACTGGACACATGAAGTTTACCCTTTTTTTTTTTTTTT